TTGGGATAACCCCATTATCTTTCATAAGAGGCGGTTAGCCCTTTTCCACTCAAGTTAGGGATCTCTTTAGGTCTATCTCAACATAGACCATCCCAATTGAGAATAAGGCACCAAGAGCACTTTGTACTCATGTCATTATGCGGTGAATTCATTAGATTTGTCTCAACAAAACCACCCTTTCTCAAAGAGTTATGAATTCATTAAGAGCTGTAGCTCAACCTCACAAGTACACACACTATCGGAATGACCAACTAGTATACTATTTTGTAACTCTTTTCATGGCTTCGTTTGACCACAGAAGTGAGATCCACCATGAATTCATTACCACTTGGACTTTAAGTCTTTCCAATGAGTCAACGACTAATCCTCATAATTAGCCCTCAAGTAAGTTGATTCTCTTGACCAAACTTACATGCACTTTGACGAGTACTTCGTTTACTCGTAAATAATCCCTTGAGATTTTCATGTTTAACATGAAACATTCTCTTTCATCATTATTCTCAATACCACAGAGAAACTTTTGATGAAAATATAAGGAGTTTATTACCCCTACAATGCAACACTTACAAATATTTTTGTCAAACGTATTTGATCTCTTACCCAGACTGATCTTTGGTGCCCAACCTTAGCTCCTTTGTAGACTGAGTTTTGCCGATTTGCTTTGTGGAGCATTATAGAAGCTTCGCACTTTGCTTGATACATGCTCAACAGTTGAATATATTTCAACAAACTTGGTTATCTCAATTGATCACAATTACCCTTTAACTAGGAATTATAGGTATTTCAATATGACTCAACCAAGAGTTTAAATAATATATATACAAATGCTCATTGTTAGTAAGCCATAGAAATAATGTTGTCCACATGCTACATCAAGTTGAACAACATAATCACAAATTTCACATCATATTCTTATAAGAAATTAATCTCATACAAAAGGAATATGTTCGAGCTCATATTTATTCGGAATATCTCTCAACAATGAGACTTCAGAGTTGCCACTTGCACAATTTTCCCTTCCCTTAAGGAATTTAAAACTCATATAAAGCATTCATATGATGCAGATCAATATTACTATTGCAGTACTTCAACAACTTCTATTGCAAGGCTTTGATTGTATTAGCAACATATGAAAGTCATCCTCATTTCAGGTGAAGATCAAGTGGCGCTCTAACTAGCCTGCATGATCAACACCCTACTTCTTAAGTACTCCCAGGTCGAGTGGTGAAACCGAAGCTTACTTAAAAACCATCTTCCTAGACAGAGTGTTCAAGAATGATGACTTTCCCATGTTCTCATTAAATTACAATTGAAGCCTATGATATATGCTCTTATTCTTTATACAAATAATTTTAGTAAAAAGTTTGAGCAATATCTATGCACATATTATTTCAATCAATGTCATTAGTATTCAACATACTAAAGAAGTAAGTACTACCAAGTAATCAAAATCTAGACAACTCAACTAAAATTCAGTACTAAGATAATTATACTTCATGCGAACCCTTAGAACTAGAGCAAATATAGTTACTCAAAAATAACTACTTATTTAAAGAGACTCAATACTCATCTTGCTCTGTCGGATTGATTTTTGCTAGTTTTGCCATTGTGATGGTAGCACTGGTGTGCTCGGTGTCCTTGCTTTTTGCATGTAAAACACCTTCCTTTGAACTTCGATCTTGATTTTTCTACTCCTTTTGTTGTAGACAGTTCTGACACTTTGATTTTCAGTTTCATTGGAACCGTACTTTTCTGACAATGATTCCCAAATGACTTTTGCCGAGTCTTGTTTGACATAGATGTCGAACAAATCGTCATTCATTTGAGACAGAAGGTATCCTCTGGCTGTCGCATTGTCATTTCTAAACTGCATCAGAGTTACACCCGGTTCTTGACCTGGAATATAATCTATTTCAGGACTGCTTTCTCTCGATTCTTCACCCGGAGTATAATCAGATTCATGGTTAGCTTTTGTAGCACTAGAGGGAGAGAACACTGTTGGAGTAGGTTCAGGTGCAACTGAATATAGCACGTAAACCAACTTTAATTGTTCAAAGAGAATAAGCATTATTTGAGCCCACCTGCTGTAATTTTTCCCATCAAGCGCGGTGATTTTTGATAGATCCGGTATGACAGAAGGTGCCATAATACTAAAGGTTGACTGTTGCACAATAACGCTTTTAATTGTTGGGGAAAACTGCAACGTCAACGAGTGATCTGGAAGCCTTTTAAGAAGCACGGACAATATTGGTGTATGGTTGAAAGAAAATCTGTGCCGTGTTACAATAACACTACCTTAAAAGCGTTATTTGCCCGGTAACGGTGCAGATAGAACCCATACACGCTTTCGACAGGCTACACAGACCAACTACGGATAACTTGCATTAGCAATCACATAGGCGAACCTCACTATTGCTCAGACCTTAACCGGCAGACACGAATTATATATATTATATATATTATAATATATATTAATTCTTATATAGAAAGAAGGAAGAAGCTTTTGTGTGTTTTTAATGAACAAAGGAAGTATGCTATATATAATAATATAGTCTTCACTTCTTGGCCACTAATGTCCAAAAGACATACTACACGCCTCATTCTCAATAAATGAGATTCACTCATTTTGAGTGAAAGATGGAAACCACATAAAATGCCATACTAATGACAAGTATGATGTGGACCAACGCATAAGATCCAACCGTCCGTCCTATTCTCTTGGGGTCGGTTGGGAAGATTATTTAGTATAAAAAGACATCTCCTTATCTTGTTAGGACATCTATATCTTGTCTTGTTACTACATTCTCTTTGTAATTTTTCTATAAAAGACTGTCAATACGAAAGATGTCCCCGCGACATATACATTCTTTGCCTTTTCCTATTTATCATTTATTGGATTTAGTAATTCGGGTCTACCCCGAGTAATTAAATCCATCAGAAAGAGTTGCCACGACCTAAGGGGGGTGTATTCAATCATGACTTTCATAGAGTTTTAAAGACTTTTATGAACTTTAAAAGTTTGGAGGTATTCAATTCAAACTTTTAGAGAGTCTTTAAAACTCAGGCGGTATTCAATCAAGATTTTTAAATAAGAGTCTTTAAAAGTCGTGTGGTATTCGATTAAGACTTTTAAAGAGTCTTTAAAAGTCATGTGGTATTCAAAAGTTATGAACTTTTGTAGACTTTTTAATTTTAAGACTTTTGTAGACTTTTTCTTCTCAAATATAAATAGTTGAAATCCAACCATCAACCCCCCAAGATTTCAAAATTTTCTTTCTTACAACTTTGAATGTTTTCTCTCTCTATTAAAACTCTATTTTTTCTCCCTATTTAAACTTTATAAACAAATCTAAATTCAATAAAATTATTTTTTTCTTCATTATCCTATATTTTCCTCATACCTAAACTCTACTAATTTTTCTCTCTCCTAAACTTTACAATCTTCATCTAAAAATTTGAAATAATATTATTTTTACTTCATTATTGCTTGTTTATATTGATTTTTAGTTTTTCTATGAATTTTTTATCCCTAACTTTCTCTAATTCCCTCTAAATACATGAACAAAGCAAATTTTTCATTGTCAAATTTTAGTATAAGTTTCATAATATTCATATAAATACTTATATATTTTGTTTTTTATTCTTTTTATGCTTATATTTGTAATATATATTTTTCCTTTTTTAACGAACAAGTTACTACGAATAGCGAACTACTGTTCGCCATAACAATTTGGGGTTACAAACAATAACACCTTGTTGCTGTTTGCAGTCTTAAATTGCTATTGCAAATAATAGTACTCTGCGTGATAGATGCCTAGCCATATATCAAGTATAATTTTTTTTATATATATTATTAATATTAGATTTTTTTTTTTATGGAACTTGTAATTATATTTTTAAATATTTTATTTGATCAATTCTTTTATTATAAATTTTATTGTATAATATTGTTATGACTTTCTAATGAAGTAATTAGCATTTTTTTTGAAGAATAAGTAATTAGCATATAAGTCTCAGCATACTAGGGATAAAAATAATAATCTTGAGAATGTTGATGTGGGTGAAGAACTATATAATAAGAAGAATTTTATGATATAATGTTTTGCAAGAAAATTATAAATGATAAGAATCAAAGTCATTGAAAGTTTGTAAGGGTGTATTCAATTTAGAATTTCAATGACTTTTGTAGACTTTTTAAAATAAAAACTTGATAAAAGCCTATGAATGTTTTTTATATAGACTTTTAGAGTCTTATAAAGTTTTAAAAAGTTTTAAACGACTCTATGAAAGTCAATCAAAGTTTATTAAAATCTATCATTTTAAAGTCTTTAAAACTCTACAAAAGTCATGATTGAATACACCCCCCTAAATTTTTGCAGGTAGATTGGCTTTCATCATCATCTCGGGTGCAGGGCCGGATTTTAGGCTGTGCAAGCTGGGCTACCGCACAGGGCCCCCAATTTTAGAGGGCCCCAAATTTTAGAGGTTCAATATTTAATTTTTACCTAGTTAGTTTAAAAATAAAAATTAAAAGTTTTCAATTGAATTTGAAAGGTTCCATGAAGAGATGGTAAGAATGTATATTTATTGTATTTTAATTTGGAGGTCAAAGATTCAAAACTTGTATGTATTAATTTTAAAAATTGTGATTTTTGTAGGGTCATATTTAATTACCATAACAAGGCCACAAAAGACTTAAAATACGGCCCTGCTCGGGTGTCGGCTATTAGGACTTTGGCACCATGTTGACAGAATAGCTTCGCAATGGCAGATCCAATGCCACCAACACCACCAGTAATTATGGCTACTCTTCCATCCAACCTATGGGCCAACAAGTTATGAAAAATGATCAAGTGTATACATCAGTACGTGTAGTATGGAAATTACGCGTGCATACCTCTTAGCAGCAGTAGAAATGAGCGAACTGCTCGCCATTTTTCTTTAATCTCTTCAGATCACCAATATTTCCTCCCTTCAACACTCCCTTTCTAGTTTCTAACCTATAAAAGTCAAAGAACTACATCAAAGTCTCCAATACAGATACAGTTGGTTCCTGCCTTTATTGCTTTCATTTGTCAAGTAGCACGCGT